AAAAAAAAAAAAAAAAAAAAAATTAGCTGGGCATGGTGCCACATGCCATTAGTCTCAGCTACTTGGAGGGTAAGGTAGGAGAATCACTTGAACCTGGGAGAGAGAGGTGGCTGTGAGCAGGCAGCACATCACTGCACCCGCAGTATGGTGACAGAGTGAGATTCCATCTCAAAAAAAAAAAAAAAAAATCACAAACTTATATTAGTCATGCTAAATCTAACTTATTAGCTGTCAACATAAAGATTCTAGAAAGTAAAGAAGATACAAAGAAGTTGAAAGGCATCCCATATTTATGGATAGGAAGACTAAACATGACTAACCACAATACTACACAAATCATCTACAGACTAACAACTGCTATCAAACTTGTAACAGCCATCTGTGCAGAAATGGAAAAGATAATCCTAAGACTTTAATGAATTTTTATGTGCCTCAAATAACCATGGTAACGTTGAAAAAGAATACTGTTAGAGGACACACATTCATGAGATTGAAATCTACAGAAAAGGAAAAAACAGAGAAATTCAGACAGCATACTTCTAGCGTGGGGGCACCCATAAGTATCATAGATATAGAATCGAGAGCCCAGAATTAAATGCACACATACAGAGTTAGCTGATCTTCAACAGAGGTGCCAAGAATACACAATGGAGAAAGGAAAGCCTCTTCTACAAATGATGGTAAGAACCGTATATTCTTATTCAAATGAAGAAATGGAATGCTGACAGTGTGCTCAAGGTTATGCTTCTCCCTCCATTTCCAAGACACTGGAGCTTTTGCAGTGACCCCAGAGTGATTTTCATTCTGTCCTCCCTGCCCAGGGAGATGTCTTGATACCAGAGGTAAACAGCAAGGACAGACAAATGAACATGCTGCCATGAAACCTAACAGTTCGTAAGGTGAGGATCCATTTCTCTTATGCATCTGGGCATACCGCAGAAGAATTGTCTCCAGGATTAAGTAACTGCCTGTGACAGAACTGCATCCCAAACCAAAGGTTCTGACATTTTGCAGTGACAGAGGCAGAAAAGAGCAGGTGTTCTCAGGAAGATCATCTTTAAATAATAAAAAAGAGGTGATTGAAAACACAGGATACTCAAAAGCCCATAAACATAGTACTTCTCACCATGATGACATTAAACTCTGAAAATAACAAACTCAGCTTATATTTACTTTTTCTTTTTCTCTTTCTAAACCCTCCCTCAGCCTCCGAAGCAGCAGGTATAACTTGAAGGTTGTTGGAAATGCTGTTTTACTAGATCCCATCTGAAGTCTTGTTGCCTACGTGGAAAGGCATCCTCTTCCCTGCTGAGATTCTCCAGAATCCACTCTTTTCTTTTTTTGAGATGAAGTCTCACTCTGTCACCCAGGCTGGAGTGCAGTGGCGCGATCTCAGCTCACTGCAAGCTCTGCCTCCCGTGTTCACGCCATTCTCCTGCCTCAGCCTCCCAAGTGGCTGGGACTATAGCTATACACTTGCAAAATCATTTGCTCTTACCACACCCCCAATTTTTTAAACAGGAACCCAGATTAAGGTTTCTATATACTAAAGCCATCAAATTTGTTTCTCAGAAAGTGACTTAGTTGAAGGTACGTACCCCAGACACGTGATGGTAAAATCTGCAACAAGACAAAAGAAGATGCTATGAGGATCAGATCAATTCTGCTGCACCCCTTCCACAGACCTGTTAGTCTCCTGATGACTTCAGAAAACTAGTTGTGAAACAGTTGTTGAGTCAAAAACAAAACATTCTAGCTGAGAGGATACATGTGGAAAAGACAAGAGCTTTTCCCACAGAATTTATGTTTGAGGTTGATTTAGATTAGTAAATGCACAAGGTCTAATCCAAGGAGAAAAACTGGTGTGGAGGAAAATGCCTCTGCATTACAGCTGGTGATGGATGCTGTCCTTCAAAAACACCCTAGTGTGTCATGTATTAGATGAAAAGAAACTCAGACTGAACTCCACCCTCACAAAGAGAATTGTGTATGTTGTACATAATGTGCCTTGTCACATTTTTATATCAAAATTAATTGAGAAGGAAAGAAATCAGGTGAAGGAAATATGTATACAGTGATCTATTTTTAACACAAAGTACACTGAACCAGTTGAGGTCAGCAAAGTACAGAAGAAATAGGATATGCCAGGCTCCTGCTTGGATGGGCAATGCCTGCTTGTTTGGTGCCCCCCTCTCCTCCTCACTTAGTTACCCTCACTTCAACCAAAGAAATTTAGTCTAAGATGAAGGTTTACTAGGCTGAAAAATAGCTCATTTTGTCTGTTCTTATCAGCCTGCCCAGCTCCTTAGGTCATAAGTCAAATACTTGAAGAGACCCTGAGCTGACTAGGTTGGCAATGCATTGTGGGCTTCAACAAAATGCAGTAAGACAACCCTAGAAAAATACCTACAGCCCCTCCCCCAACTATCAATAGGCAACACCTGGGAAGACTGACCCCACAGTACTCAGCCTATGAGGAACCAGGGGAGGGACCTGCACACTAGGGGATAAATTGCTTGTGGAAACTGTGCTGGGTGTGTCTGCCCATCAGACACCAGCTCGTGCAACACTGTCATTGAAAATCTCACTTTCGGCCAGGCAGGGTGGCTCACGCCTATAATCCCAGCACTTCAGGGGGCCAAGGTGTATGTATTACCTGAGGTCAGGAGTTTGAGACCACCCTGGCCAACATGGTGAAACTTTGTCTCTGCTAAGAATACAAAAATTAGCTGGGCATGGAGACAGATGCCTGTAATCCCAGCTACTCAGGAAGCTGAGGCAGGAGAATTGATTGAGGCCAGGAGATGGAGGTTGCAGTGAGCCAAGATCGCACCACTGCACTCCAGCTTGGCTAACTGAGTGAGAAGAAAGAAAAGCAGAAAGCAAGCAAGCAAGCAAGAGAGAGAGGGAGAGAAGAAAGGAAAAGGAAGGAAAGGAAAGGAAAAGGAAAAGGAAAGGAAAAATCTCACTTTTGCTGTTTTTCAGCTCCCTGAGTCTATTCTTTGGGTTTTGACTGCTGAGTTTATTTCTCACATCAGAAAACCAACATTTCCTTAGATGACAAAGGTGGTCTTACCTGGGCATCATCATCATCATCATCATCATCATCATCATCATCATCATCTTCATTTTGTGATAGGCTCACAAAACTCAGGTTGTCCTCAGGAGAAGCTGGAAGGACACAGAGGAAAGATCCGTGCACTGGTGGTTTGTGACTGAGTTACTCAGGGTGCTTTGCTGGATGTGGTGTATGGAGGTGGTTGATTAACAAGCATGGACTGAGTTGATGCTGGGCTATTCCCCTGAGTGGAAGAGGGATGGTAGAGGAGGGGAGCAGGAAAGACATGAGACATGGAGGCCTTGGCCTTGTACTAGAGGCATCAGGCAGCAACACAAGAGAGTCAACCTGAAATGGAACTAAAGCACACACTAAGGGTCAATGGAAGAGTGCCTTCCTCCCTCTCAAATGTTTTAAAACTCTTCGAAACAAACAGGATTTTCTTAATGTATTCAAGACCTTGTCAGTACAGTAGGATCCAATTACGCTGGTACTACATTTAGCATCTGTTTTAAAGGATTTATTACTTGATTAAAAGCCTATTTTATTAGTAAAATGGACTCAATTTCACCCAAATTACTCTATTGTATTAACCACACATTCTTTTTCATAGAGAACATTTTTAAAATTAAATATTAAAATGTTACAATTAAAAACAGTCATGATTTCCTCTTTGTAAGTCTTCTTCTGGAACCATGGTGTGTGCACACACCCGAAAGGGCCCCTGTGATCAGGGCTTCAGCAGCTCCTGTGTCACTCTCCCTGAGGAGATTCCTTAAGGATCAGGCTTCATTCAAACAGGATAAACTCACAGACCCTGCTGTGCGTACACCAGTGAAGCTGAGAAACGTGACTCTGAACACTTTCTGCCATGAGGATAAGCTTCCAGGTTCAAATATACATTATCTACTGAAATGAGGAAAATGTATAACAATAGAAATGTACACATTCATGAAAAAATGTCCATGAGTACAGGTGTGATTTTTCCATTAACTAGCTTACATAAAATTTTTTTATTTGATCCCTATTCAGACTTACAAAATATTGGCATAAAAAAATCACAAATTTGGCCAGGTGTGGACGCTCATGCCTATAATGCCAGCACTTTGGGAGGCCGAGGTGGGCAGATCACTAGGTCAGGAGATCGAGACAACCCTGGCCAACGTTATAAAACCATGTCTCTAATAAGAATTTAAAAATTAGCTGGGCATGGTGCCTCATCCCTATAGTCCCAGGTACTGAGCAGGCTAAGGCAAGAGAATCACTTGAACCCGGGGCCACAGGTTGCAGTGAGCGGACAGCATGTTACTGCACCCCAATGTGGTGACAGAGTGAGACTCTGTCTCAAAAAAATAATAATAATGAACAATAAATCACAAATTTATGTCAGTCATGTTAAACCTAACTTATCAGCTGTCAACATAAAGATTCTAGAAAGTAAAGAAGGTACAAATAAGTTGAAAGGCATCTCATATTCATGGATAGGAAGACCAAACCTGACTAACACACAATACTACACAAATCATCTACAGACTCACAACAATTACTATCAAACTGGTAACAGCCATCTGTGCAGAAATGGGAAAGATAATCCTAAGACTTTAATGGATTTTTATGTGCCTCAAATAACCATGGTAACGTTGAAAAAGAATAGTGTTGGAGGAAGCACATTCATGAGATTGAAATCTACAAAAAACAGAGAAATTCAGACAGCATGCTTCTAGCATGGGGGCACCCGTAAGTATCACAGATATAGAATAGAGAGCTCAGAATTAAATGCACACACAGAGTCAGCTGATCTTCAACAGAAGTGCCAAGAATACACAATGGGGAAAGGAAAGCCTCTTCCACAACTGATGGTAAAACTGCACATTCTCATTCAAATGAAGAAATGGAATGCCGACAGTGTGCTCAAGGTTGTGCTTTTCCCTTCATTTCCAAGACACTGGAGCTTTTATAGTGAGCCCAGAGTGAGTTTTCATTCTGTCCTCCGTGCCTAGGGAGATGTCTATCAAGACATACCAGAGGTAAACAGCAAGGACAGACAAATGAATGTGCTGCCATGAAACCTAACAGTTCATAAGGTGAGGATCCATTTCTCCTATGCATCTGGGCACACCACAGAAGAATTCTGTCTCCAGGATTAAGTAACTGCCTGTGACAGAACTGTGTCCCAAACCAAAAGCTCTGACATTTTGCAGTGGCTGGGGCAGAAAAGAACAGGTGTTCTCAGAAAGATCATCTTTAAATAATAAAGAAGAGGTGATCAAAAACACGGGATACTCAATAGTCCATAAACATAGTACTTCTAACCATGTTGACGTTAAACTCTGAAAAGAATAAACTCTGCTTATATTTACTTTTTCATTTTCTCTTTCTACACCCTCCTCAGCCTCCCAAGCAACAGGTATAACCTAAAGTTCCTGGAAATGCTGTTTTGTCAGATCCCACCTGAAGTCTTGTTGCCTGCCTGGAAAGGCATCCTCTTCCCTGCTGACATTCTCCAGAATCCACTCTTTAGAACCACCAACATCAGGATAAGTCAGTGAGAGCTGCACTCACTTCTCCTACTCCAGGTGAAGACACACTGGCTCACACAAAATCTCCTGGTTGGTGCTCTGGGTTCACACACATTTCTACAGCCCCTCTGCTCATAGCTATACACTTGCAAAATCATTTGCTCTCACCAAACCCTCAATATTAAGGTCTGGTGAGAGCAAATATAGAAACCCAGACTAAGGTTTCTATACGTTAAAGCCAGGAAGTTTGTTTCTCAGAAAGTGACTTAGTTGAAGGTACGTACCCTGGACACGTGATGGTAAAATCTGCAACAAGACAAAAGAAGATGCCATGAGGATCAGATCAATTCTGCTGCACCCCTTACACAGATCTGTTAGTCTCTTAATGACTTCAGAAAACTAGTTGTGAAACAGTGGTTGAGTCAAGGGTCAAAGACCAAACATTCTAGCGCAGAGGACACCTGTGGAAAAAACAAGAGCTTTTCCCACAGAATTTATGTTTGATTGATTTAGATTGGTAAATGCACAAGGCCTAATCCAAGGAGAAAAACTGGTGTGGAGGAAAATGCCTCTGCATTACAGCTGATGATGGATGCTGTCCTTCAAAAACACCCTAGCATGTCATGTATTACATGAGAAGACACTCCCACTGAACTCCATCCCAACAAGGACTATTGTGTATGTTGTACTTTATGTTCCTCATCATATTCTTATATCAAAGTTAATTGAGAATGAAAGAAATCAGGTGAAGGAAATAAAGTATACAGTGGTCCATATTTAAAAGAAAGTGCCTTGAACCTGTTTAGGTCAGCAAAGCACAGAAGAAATAGGATACGCCAGGCTCTGGCTTGGATAGGCAAGGCCTGCTTGTTGGGCCCCCCTCCTCCCCACTTAGTTCCCATCACTTGAACAAAGTTTAGTCAAAGTTGAAATTTTACTAGCCTGCAAAATAGCTCGCTTTGTCTGTTCTTATTAGCCTGCCCAGCTACTTAGGTCATAAGTCAAACACTTGAAGAGCCCCTGAGCTGACTAGGATGGCAATGCATTGTGGGCTGCAACAAAATGCAGTAAGACAACCCTAAATAAAAAATACCTAAAGCTCCTAACCAATAATCAATATGCGACATCTGGGAACATTATGACCCCATAGTACTCAGCCTATGAAGAACAAGGAGACAGTCCTGCACACTAGGGGATAAATTGCTTGTTGAAATTGTTCTGGGTGTGTCTGCCCATCAGACACCCGATCTTGCAAGGCCGTCATTAAAATTCTCACTTTCTCTGTTCTGCAGGCCTCTGAGATCATTCTTTGGGTGTGAATGGGTGAGTTTGTTTCTCACATCAGGAAAGCAACATTTCCTTAGAAGACAAGGAAAGAAGGTCTTACCTGGGCATCATCATTGTCTTCCTCACTTGGTGGTAGAGATTTTAAACTCAGGCTGTCCTCAGGGGAACCTAAAAGGACAGAGTTAATGTCAGTGCCCTGGTGGTTGGAGACTGTGAGTCCCTCAGGGAGCTTTGCTGGATGCGGCATATGGAGTGTGGGACTGAAGATTCTGAGACTATCTCAGAGAAACAACTATGTTCAAGTAGTGAGCATGAGGGAGTCTCACCAGATACCTCACATCTTCGTCAGTGCCTGGACCTAATAAGACTCTTGCATTCCCAAGTCCCAGAAGATATTAACCAATCAAAAATCAAGGCTTCGATGTTTGCTGTGACATAGACAAGACAAACTGGTCTTCTGGAAAGTAACCATTAAACACCAGAGCAAGAAAAAAAAAAAAAAGGTTACAAACACAGTACACAAAGCCCATGGACACAAATTGTCTCACCTCTATCTTATTAAAATACAAAAGGAACAAATCAGACTTCTACACATATTTCCTTTGATTCTGACTTCCTCACCCTTTTCCTAGGTTCCAAAATAACAGGTGTCACCCAACTGCTCCCAGAGATCCTCCTAGAGTATCATTCTCCACCTGCAGATCTGCCTCACTGCAGCTGCCCTCATGGACGGTGTCCATTGGCCAATCTTTAGAGACAAAAACTCCACAAGAAATTATTCCAGAGAGCAACTCGCCCACCCTCCTACTCCAGGTGAGGCCACACTGGGTTACACGAGATCACTCTGCCCTTCCCTCAGTGTTGTCAGACTCTCCCTGGGCTTTGGGGAGTCAGAGGTCTCTAGAAAGGCATCGCTCACACTTGCCAGCCTTCAAGTGAGAAACAGGAACTGAAGGAACCACGTTTCAGCTTTTTCCTTCGACTGGCCCATTATAGGTCTCACCTCCAATCTCACAGCCCTGAGATTCCCACTTTGATGTGCACGCTTTGAGTTAGAGGAGTTCAATAATCGATCCCTCAGCCAGGCTCACAGCAGATGTGAAAGAGCATTCTGCGGGGAAGGAAATCTCTCCACTGCATGAACAGAAAGTTGCTGGGCCATTGCACGGTGGCTGTTGTGATGAGGTTCTGATTTTTTTTTTTTTTTCCCAAGATGGAGTTTCACTTTTGCTGCCCAGGCCGGAGTAAAATGGCATGATCTTGGTTCACTGCAACCTCTGCCTCCTGGATTCAGGCAATTCTCCTGCCTCAGTCTCCTGAGTAGCTGGGATTACAAGCGTGCGCCACCACACCTGGCTCATTTTTGCATTTTTAGTAGAAACGGGGTTTCACCATGTTGGCCAGGCTGGTCTCGAACTCCTGACCTCAGGTGATCCACCCTGCCTGGCCTCCCAAAGTGCTGAAATTACAGGTGTGAGCCACCACGTCTGGCCCTGAACTTTTAATTGTAAATATTTAAATGTATTTATGAGGAGGCACATGTATGACTGAGAACATTAGACGGCACAGGAGATCCAGACATGATGAAGACATGACTCCCCTCCCCTAGTGTTTTCTAGGGAAACAGTTTGCAGCTGTGCTCCTACCATACATTTATGGTTACTTTCTGGGCATCTACACAAGGGCCAATCACTGTGTGGGGCTGGGGATATGACAACAATGAGGACAACATCTAGGTCCAGAAGGATTCCAGCAGGTGGCGCGCATGGACACAGGGGAAGACCGTGGCCCTGCACACCCTGTCTAGACAGGATCAGAGCAGCAGGAGCCGAGGGGCCGGGGCACCTCACTGTCCTCAGGAGCTCAACCTCATCTCCAGGGACCCTGACTCAGAAGCTGGGGCAG